TGATTTAGGTTGGAGATTTCCCTTGGAGAAGAGAAGAATTCTTGCATCAAACAGGAACTGTAATTAGTAACTCACCAATACAATTACTTTTATTTATTTCAGGTTTTATGGCCATGCTAATTGTTGACCTATCTGCTTTCTTTTGAAGTGCCTGCAGGACAATTGTCAGTGGGCCAACTGAGATATCAGGGTTGTCTCTAAACTACAAACTCTGGCTGTTCAGGATGCTGGTCAGGCCTGCAAAACAAGTTGCTAGCAAGGAGTAGTCCATGTAAGAACGAAAGCTAGAGATAATTCATATATGATTCAGTGGTTCAAACCCATAGCCTGATCCTGACAATATTTTTGATGGATCCTTCCCTTAGACTAACAGGACAAACATATTATCTTTCTCTGCTAAACTTCAGGTGGATGATAAAATACTTGTCTCTTCAAAAAGCTTAAGGGGAATCCACGCTGCACAATTACTGCAGTGTCCATAGGCAAGGTATTACAGTATTTAGTAAAGACATAGTAATTGTATATTTGTCATTGTGGGCTTTCAAATCATTTCTGACTTATGGCAACTGTATCATTGAGCTTCTTTGGCAAGATTTATTCAGAGGGGGTTTGCCTTTGCTCTCATTTCAGAATGCGATAATATGACCTACCCAAAGTGTGAAATCCACCTCTAAGGGTGGATTTCATGGTTTGTAAATGCCAATTCTTATTTACCCCATTAAAACCCTTTCTGGGGAAAAGGCTCAAAAATGTGGGTAGCTCCATTGGAGCTACCCAAAAGACAACTTACCTCCCGTGATTGGTGAGGAAGCATCTTGCGACACTTCCTCATCACTTCAACCATCAATGGGGTGGGCCACAGCCTGCATCATGTAATAGTGCTCGGCAGGCCCTGTCCCTGAGGAGGAACAATGGGCCAAAAGCCCCTTGTGTGATGAGGTGATAGGCTCTGTTTCCTGGACCCCCCTCAGCAAACACAGCAGTTCTGGTTGTGGTGCCAACTTCTCCACTGTAAGTGAGAAGAAATGTTGACAATTGGGGAGAGAGAAAACATGGTGAGATTGCATGTAATATTTCTATCTGGATTTGCTGTGTGCTTGTGACGTCAAGAGTCTTTTTATTTTCCATTTTGTTTTCCTGAAATGGGTTACCTAACTTGTATTTGGAGAAAACGGATTTTGATTGCTTTAGGAATAGTTCTACTGTATACAATAAATTCCTGGGTTATGGCCATTTATATTTGTATAATGATGTCAAAGAGTTTCTCTGGGCAGGTGCCAGGAAATTAAACAAGGAGATCGTTAGTTCTGTTTTGTTTGCACAGCATATCGTATTTTCTCAGTTTGTAGTAGTCATGAAAGTGGAACTTCTATTAGTTCTTGCCATGTCTCTTGGGAATTATCATGTTGCTTTACACTATTAAAATGGGTCTCTGTTTTTTTTTGAAACGGAGACAGTATTTCATCTACTCAAATTGTTATTTTGTATCTTGAAAGTATATATTTCAAAATAAAATAAAAATATATGCAAGTGTCTTCAAATTGGCTAACTACTTATGATTGGAGCTCCCGGTGGTGCAGTGGGTTAAACTGCTGAGCTGCTGAACTTGTTGACTGAAAGGTCGCAGGTTCGAATCCGGCCCGCTGTTAGCCCCAGCTTCTGCCAACCTAGAAGTTCGAAAACATGCCAATATGAGTAGATCAATATGATCCTGCTTACCTGTCAAGATCTGGTTAGATTTGCTGCCTTTAGGATATTTCTATGAGTGTGTTTTATTATTTTGGATTTGTTTGAAAGGAAGTGCCTTGTTGTGTAACCATATCTTTTTCATACGTTTCTGGAAACGTATGAAAAAAATAAGACTAACTCTGAGTTTCATAGGGTTTTCATAGGCAAGAAATACAGAGAGGTGGTTTTACCAGTTCCTTCCTATAAAATATAGGCTGTGGTATCTGATATTTATTGGCTGTCTCGCATGCAATGAATCATCATAGAACTCAGATTCCATCATCAAATTTTATAAGATCTATGGTGTACTTAGAAACAAAATATTGTAAAAGATGAGCGCTTAACAATAATGTGTTGTCAAGTGCAGCTCTGCAAATGAAAATCATCCATAAAACAAAAAGATTTGAAAATTGTGTTAATTATGAATGCCATATTGCTCTGCTCTGGAAAATGAGAAGCTTTATTTTGTCAAGGACTAATAAACACAAACACTGGGGCTTTTTGCACAATTGATGAGACCCAACCCCATCTAAAAGTATTGGTAGCTTGTCTAATATTTCAATTCTACCTGTGTATCTAGTAAACTTCCCATCAGATGCTATGACCCCTCAGCAGTACATGTCATCTTGGTATTTATTTATTTATTTATTTAAAACATTTATATTTTGCCCTTCTCACCCCGCAGGGCACTCAGGGCGGAGCACAACATATATACGGCAAACATTCAATGCTAGGACATAAAACCATAAATATATACAAACATTAAAATCACTTATATCCACTTTAAAATCAGTTGCTTAAAGACCATCCCAGGACACCATTTTATTAATGCCTCATCGCACTGGCCCAAAGACTTGGTCTCACAGCCAGTTCTTCACCATCCTTCTGAAGGACAAGAGGGAGGGGATGATGTAATATTGCCAGGAAGGGAGTTCCATAGCCAGGGGGCAATCACTGAGAAGGCCCTGTCTCTCGTCCCCGCCAAACACGCATTTAACAGTGGTGGGACTGAGAGCAGGGCCTCTCCAGAAGATCTTAGTCTTCATGGTGGATCATAAAGGGAGATACATTAAGACAAGTAAACTGGGCCAGGGCCATTTAGAGCTTTATAGGCCAAAGTTCAGTTGTGAATTTTGCGGCTATAAATGTGTCAATTCATTTTATGGTATAAGCTTCAAATTAAAGCACTTACATCATGAAATTATGGCACCTATATCCATTTAGTGATAGAGCTACATTTATTTTCGTTTCTGTTTGCCCATTGCTGTTGTAAGTGCAGCCTACATTATTCACAGAATTTACCATAATCCAAGTCTGCAAAGTTTTGAAAGGAAAATACAGATACAAGAGAGATGACCCGATGTGACAGACCTGTGGTTAGGTTTCAGAGCTATTATAAAAGTCAAAACCAATATAATTCCCTTGTCATACTTTTTATTGTCACTTTCCTACACCTAAACCATGCTCGGTAATATAGAATGATACTTCTGAAAAGCAAACTAATTATGTTATTCTGTTGGCTTTATTATCTCTGACACTGTAAGTCTTTATGGTAGCACATTCATCAAGAAATTCTGGAAACTGGAGAAGGTTTTTGTATGCTAGTGTTTGTTTTATTGTTTCTTTGCTTTGTCAAGGAATTTTTACTTGTATGGAAATCTTTACTTTGATCTTGATTTTTGTTGATTTTTGTTAAGGAATTACATGCTAGGATATCACCTATAATACCAATAATGGTTCATGATGGGCAATGATGGTTATTAAAATCCACTTAACATCCTGGAACAGCAAAGCTTAGGAGTATTTCCAGAAATAGGCAGGTGTAACAGCTTCTAATAAAAAAAATGAAATTAGTTTCCTAGGAGCGGGGGAGTTCTTTTCTGATAGTGTCATAACCTGTTCCTTCATCCAAATTTTCCAGTGGTGGTGGTGTTTCTGAAACTGCTCCTCCAGGTATTTTGGACTTCAGCTCCCAGAAATCCCAACCAGCTTACCAGCAGTTAGGAATTGTGGGAGCTGAAGTCCAAAACTCCTGAAGAAGCAGAGTTTGAGAAACACTGCTCTAAAATATAGTGTACAGCAGCTGGTATTCATTGGTGGCCATCCAAGAACTGACCAAAACTGACTCTCTTTACTTTCCAAGATCAGATGGAATTAGGGTATTTATATGAGTATGTTATGTTATTTTGTATTTGTTTGAAAGGAAATGCTTTGTTTGGAATCATAATACATGGTCGTTTGGGGAAAGGTGTGAAAAGGTTAGAGCAGCTCTGTGTCATGTTATCAGACTGTCCACCTCAGTTCCCACCAGAGCAGCCCCTGAGGAGGTTAGCATTTCTGTGCTGTGTTCAGTTGTTATCTTGAAAGCAGAATGATTGCTTTCAACAGTACAATGGTTGCTAATTGTTAACTATCAGGGCTTCCCAATATCTTCAGGAATTCAGATCCCTAGAAATGAAAGTCTGTTTTATTTGTCTAATTTTTCTTTAATGTCAGAGATGAAGACACATAGATAAGAAACTCCCCGCCCAAAAAGGAGGCTGGATCCTTGTTCCTTGCAGAAAAATAGAGCTTTGACTTGTCTTGGTCAGAAGCTAAATCATTCCCCCACAGGGTTAAAGGTCTCATTCTTGTTGACTATTCTTGATGCTCTTTTGTTGAAATTCCTAAGGCTAGTTAGACCCAGTTACCTGTTATTCTCCTTGTGGAAGTGCCGTTTGAAGATGTTCATGGTTGAAATCATTTGAGCTACATGGAATCAGATTATCATCTTTGGATATCTTTTCTTCAGCACGTCACATTTGATGTCATATTCGATGAAATATGTATAGTAACCAAGTTGATGCATTTTCAAGATTAGCTCCCACTTTTCTAATCAATTTGACAAACAGAGCATGGAAGTCCATACTGTCATATTTCATATGCATTTGGTAGAATTTACAGTTTTCACTGAAAAGGGTCAAATTACATTAAATTTGTATCTTTTTGATCTGTCCCTATGCTGCCGTCACATGGTTTCAGTAAACATTTCAAAAGGTGATTAATCTTCAGTTACCAGTTAGATTGGCTTGCTTGCTTTCTGTGTTGCTCAGTTCTCTAATATTCAATATTCTGACAAATATTTCAGTATCATATTACTCACAATCATAATTTTTCTTCCATTCCCATAAGGAAAATGTGGCATACATGATGTTTTTACTCCCCTCTTCAAAAGCTGCAGAGAAGTAAATATGAATAATTACATCATTTTGTTTCATTTGGGTTGCTTACAGAATCTGGGAGTCTCCACTACTTCTGGCTGCCAAAGAAAATGATGTTCAAGCCATCAGGAAATTGACCATGGATGGGTCCTGTGATCTTTTTCAGAGAGGTATTCACCCCCTCCTTGCTTCCCAAGTTAACAAATGGAGTCCATGCTTGACTGAGGAGAGAATTCTCTTTGAGGAGCAACAGCCACATTCAAATAGTGAAGTAGCAAGGGTCTTATCACAATAAGTATGACAATGGTGGATTGACTCAAATATGCTTTTTTTTCTCATCAAAATTATACTTGTCATCCATGCCCAGTTTTAAATACAAATGGGGTAGACATATGAAGACACAAAATTGCTACATCCATTATGCCAGCATTGCTAGAAATTCAGCTAATTCTTAACTGATCCTTTGTTTTGTTTTCTCTACGTTATGTAGGAGTTGTTGGTGAGACAGCCCTTCACATAGCTGCCCTCTATAATAATGAAAAAGCTGCTGAAGCTCTTTTGGAGATTGCTCCAGAACTTATCAATGAGAAGATGACATCTGAATTCTATGAAGGTAATTGTTATTGAGCTAGAATTTTTAAATTAATATATATACTCTGGAATTGTGTTATCAGAGTTTTTTTCCTTTTGATAGCTGATAAAAAGTAATCAGCTTTCCACAAATCTGGTAATTGTTTGTCTTCCTGATTTTGCCTGGCATAATTTAGTTGTAATATAACAGTATAATCATTTTTTTTCTTTTTGAATTTCCCAAGTTTTCCAGTTTCCTGGCATATAGCATTCTAGATGCACACATTACACATATTTTCTCCCACAGGTCCAAAAGTATCTAAAGGTAAATAATTTTTGAAAGTGAAAAAGTGGTGTGAGGAATACCAAATTAAGTTTCTCTTCCCTTGGACACTGAAACTTGGACAGCTAGCTTAGCTGAAAACACTTAGGGTCAAAGGATATCTCCTTGTGACTCTTTGGCCCCTTCCACACAGCTGAATAAAATCCCACATTATCTGCTTTGAATTGGAATATATGGCAGTGTATTAACTCGGATAACACAGTTCGAAACAGATATTGTGGGATTTTCTGCTTTGATATTCTGGGTTATATGGCTGTCTGACTCCATAAATGTTGCAATATTGAGTCTCCCACTCTTTAAAATATATGAATGTCGAGGCATGGAAAAGAGTTAATATCTGTCAGCAAGCTGGTTACCTTGTTCCATGGTTTCCTTCCTAAGGTACATCTGTGATACAGGTTTATAGTAGTTTCATGCTAGTTTATCTTCACTGGCTTCCTCCAACTTAGAGAATTCTACAAATTACAATTTGGAAAATCCTAACTGCATTTCTTCTTCACAGAAATTGCATGATGCTCATTGGGAAATCATATTAAACCACTTTAACTTTGCTAGGCTAATACGATAGACACACGGATTGTCTATATCATATACCCATGGGCAGTGATGGAAGTTAAATAAATGAGCGGGTCAGACTATATGTGACATTAGCCACGCTGTTTAATATTATGATTGGCATTTTTATACCCCATTTTTATAGACAAGGAACGTAATCTTGTTTGGTTCTACAGTAAGAAGGGTAAACATTTTTTAGATATTTCTATCACAATTTTCAAACTGAAAATCTCCAGTGAGGCTACCATCAGCTTCAGAATTTCATAACTTTAGGATGGTTTTCAGTGAGAAGATAATGTTGGAGGAAATGTCTGGGAAGTTGTTCTCCCATCCACTAGTCTCAGTCCACACCAGAGCTATGCAACACTATTTTTAATTTTTTTTAAAAACTCAATAGTGTTAAGAGATGTGGCAAATGTTGTGTCTACTTTTACTCTCTGTCTTGGCTTTCACTTCAAAGAAATACTTTTTTCCTGAACTGTCTGCATGTTTGTACTTCTCATTAAAGAAAATTTCCAGATTGTGAAACATTTAGCCAGAATTTCTTTTTAAATGTTTGGTAAACTTGTAAACCCATCATAATGCAAAATATGCAAAGCATGTCTAAAGTGAGTCTTCAATGCTGCAATTCCTCTGTTTTGTGTTCTTGACATGTGAATTGCAGGGCAAACCGCTATGCACATTGCAGCAGCCAATCAAAATGTAAACCTGGTGAAGTGCCTGCTCAAGAAAGGGGCTCACATCTCCACTCCTCGAGCGACAGGACTCTTCTTCAGGCGCAGCACCCAAAGCCTCTTCTACTTTGGTATGATCTCATCTGCAGCTGCAGGAGACAGGGTTGCTTCTGGCAGCTGGAACAATATACAGTTTTTAGGGACTGCTCCCCATGTTCCAAAACAGCCCAATTGACAGTTGTTTATGCCAGTATCTTTCCCCACAGCAGGTGTGTTTCTCTAAAAAATAATTTGGTGTGGCAACTGGGGTTCTTTTTTCATAACTGGCAGTCAGAGTCCTTAGGATGTTACAACTAAGAGTTATCATTTAACAATAAGCATTATGGTATTTAATATTCTGCCTTTACTCTTCATTACTTTAATTTACCTTAAGCTTACTCTTACAATGAGTTTGCAACCTGGGTCTCAGTTTGCTAATGACTCATCAGTTTCTACCACAGAGTACTGTGGCATCAAGAATTGAGAAGCATTGCTCTCTCTAGGGCAGGCATTCTCAAATGGCGGCCCTCCATCTGTTTGGGCCTCCATCTCCCAGAAGCCCTAATGAGCTTGTTCAGTTTTCAGGAATTCTGGGAGTTAAAGGCCCAAACAGCTGGAGGGCCAGAGTTTGAGGATGCCTGCTCTAGGGGGTGTCAGGAGGCAGTTGTATTTATTTATTTATTTATTATTTATTTACTTTGCTTATATACCGCTGTATCTCAAGCCCGAAGGCGACTCACAGCGGTTCACAAACAGTAAAAACAGTAGAAACAGCAGTGGTTCCATACAACATATAACAATTGACTTAACACATTATCCATAAATTACCAATAAGCAATTACAATGCACAATTATTACAAAAAACAACCGTACCCAATCTTCTCATCATCCAAGCGTAGTCCAGGCTCGTCGTCCATTGTTCCATTCCTATGTTCCATTACCAGATTGCACTAAATTACTCAAACGCCTGCACAAACATCCAGGTCTTCACCTTTTTGCGGAATACCATTAGAGATGGTGCTAGTCTAATGTCCGTAGGAAGGGCGTTCCACAGCCGAGGATCCACCACCGAGAAGGCCCTATCTCTCGTCCCCGCCAGCCGAGCTTGAGAAGCAGGCGGGATCGAGAGCAGGGTCTCCCCGGAAGATCTCAAAGTCCTGGTGGGTTCATAGGCAGAGATGCGGTCAGATAGGTAGCTTGGGCCGGAACCGTTTAGGGCTTTAAAGGCCAACGCCAGCACTTTGAATTCAGCCCGGTAGCAGATCGGTAGCCAGTGGAGTTGGCGCAACAGGGGGGTTGTATGCTCCCTGCGCTCCGCTCCAGTTAAAATCATGGCTGCCGAGCGTTGGACTAGTTGGAGCTTCCGAGCTGTCTTCAAAGGCAACCCCACGTAGAGAGCGTTGCAGTAGTCTAAACGGGATGTAACCAGAGCGTGGACTACTGTGGCCAAGTCAGACTTCCCAAGGTACGGGCGCAGCTGGCGCACAAGCTTTAGCTGTGCAAATGCTCCCCTGGTCACCGCCGAAACCTGGGGTTCCAGGCTCAGCGATGAGTCCAGGGTCACACCCAAGCTGCGAACCTGCATCTTCAGGGGGAGTGTGGCCCCATCCAACACAGGCTGTAACCCTATGCCCTGTTCGGCCTTGCGACTGACCAGGAGTACCTCTGTCTTGTCTGGATTCAATTTCAATTTGTTCGCCCTCATCCAGACCGTCACAGCGGCCAAGCACCGGTTCAGGACCTGGACAGCCTCCTTAGTAGCAGGTGGAAAGGAGTGACAGAGTTGGACATCATCCGCGTACAGATGACACCGTACCCCGAAACTCCGGATGATCTCCCCCAGCGACTTCATGTAGATGTTAAACAACATGGGAGACAATATTGAGCCCTGAGGAACCCCACAAGACAATGGTTGTGGGGTTGAACCCCCCCCCCCCCCCCCCCCCCCCCCCCCCCCCCCCCCCCCCCCCCCCCCCCCCCCCCCCCCCCGTCACCCAACAACACCTTCTGAGAGTGACCCTCAGGAATGAGCGGAGCCACTGCAAAACAGTACCTCCAAGACCCATCTCCGCGAGGCGTCCCAGAAGGATACCGTGGTCGACGGTATCGAAGGCCGCTGAGAGGTCCAGCAGCACCAACAGGGACACACTCCCCCTGTCGAGCTCCCGGCGCAGATCATCCACTAAGGCGACCAAGGCTGTCTCGGTACCATGTCCCGGCCTAAAGCCAGACTGTGCCGGGTCTAGATAATCCGTGTCTACCAAGAATACCTGGAGTTGTGAGGCCACCACATGTTCCAAGACTTTGCCCAAGAAGGGGAGATTGGAAACTGGCCGATAGTTGTCGAATTTAGTGGGGTCCAGTGATGGTTTCTTCAACAGCGGTTTTATTATAGCTTGTTTTAAGCTTGCTGGAATCTTGCCCCACTTGATCATCTGCCGTGTTCGATTTGGCTCACTCAGATCCGAACGCCACACACTCTCTAGTTCCCTCTTCTTTCGCTTCATCGCTGCCAGCTCCTCGGTGAACCAGGGAGCTGGTTTAGCTCGGCTACTTGAGAGGGGACGTTCCGGAGCGATCGTGTCAATTGCCCTAGTCATCTCCCCATTCCAGAGAGCGACCAGGACCTCGACAGGATCACCTACTGAGGCGGCGGGAAACTCCCCAAGAGCCATCAGGAATCCATCCGGATCCATAAGCCTCCTGGGGCGGACCAACTGTAGCTGTGTAGATGATAATTCAGCATCTCAGATACAGCATGCCTGATCCTAAACACACTCAGTCATGTCTGATTATAGAAAGTAATAGTTAGTATTTGGATGGGAGACCACTAGAGAGTACTAGGGATGTCCAAATAGTGTTTTGTAAGAATCCTGAATGAAATCAAGCTATTGCCAAGTAAACCTGGCAGCGTGGGGCTAGGTGGATCACACACCTGACTCGATATTAAGCAACCTTCTGTATTTCTTTAAGTTTCTGAGTAGTTAGCACTGGAAACTGAAGGTCATTATATCATAAATTCGATTCAATGGCTTGCCTTGTCTTTGAACTGAAAGCTTTTCCTATGCTTTTAAGTTGGTGATGGCTACTTCAAAAGGCAGATGATCAAGTGACAAAAGAAGCCAGGCTGCCAACTGTTCTAAGTAAATAAATCTAATCTGACAAATATATAAATAAATAGATGTATAAAAACGTTAGACCAACTGAGACTTGATCATACTCATTGTGACCTAAGTCTGTCATCATTCAATTCTCATTAATATTCATGGGCTTTAATACTGAGGCTAGGCCATTACTTTTTTTAAAGCATGCTTTTTTACTTTTATGACGAGTCCAAATTACCAAGCTTTGGTGAAGTTTCTTCTTTCCAGTGGTTGGGCCCTATTCTAATCCTCTTTATTCCTCTTCAGGGGAACATGTGTTATCCTTTGCAGCCTGTGCGGGAAGTGAGGAAATTGTCCGTCTCTTGATTGAAAATGGGGCTGATATCAGGGCACAAGATTCTCTAGGTAAGAGAAATGCAGTCAGAAATAGAATATGATTTTGAGACTTCTCTAATAGCAGGAAGTAAATCATGACTGTCATAACTAAAACTGAACAAATGGGTTTTGATTATATCCATTAGGTGCTTTTATCAGTTTAGATGTAGCACAATTTCCCTTGGATTGTTTGCAGTGGAAGGCAATGACAAACTATTTCTTGGGCATTTTTAAGGTGAAAGATACTTAACTGTGACATATCTTTCTGTATTCCTGTCACAAGCAAAGTGTACCTATGCAGTGGAGGCGTCTGCATTAATTTTAATATATATATATAAACTGATGATTTAAAACTGATGTGTTTTAACTGACCTTTTTGCTGATCGAAATCTACCAAATAGACCTGGGAAAAGTTAACCTGATATTTGCATAGTATGCTTTCTCACTTTCCCATTATGCAGCTCACTGAATATGGTTCTTATATTCTTTCATCCTCAGGTAATACCATACTTCACATCCTGGTCCTTCAGCCCAACAGGATTTTTGCATGCCACATGTACAATCTACTGCTCTCCTATGACAAACACGAGGGGGGCCTTGTGCCTATGGACTCAATTACAAACAACGAGGGTCTCACGCCATTCAAACTGGCTGGCATTGAGGGCAACACTGTGGTAAGCAGACCGTCCAGTATTTTTTTTTTTTGGGAGATGAAGCAAAAGGAGTTCAGGAACAATTAATTTTGATGCTGTGTTCTGATTTCCTTCTAGGAGACTCCAAGGGACTTATGTGGGAGTTGATGCTTGGCAGCCTCACAATTAATGCCTAATATAAGTCCTGTGTCTTATGTTGACAAACCATAGCATGTTATTATGTGTATGAGCAGATTCAAGCCTTGGGTTTGCACTTTTCCTTGTGTGAGGGAAGGAAATTTTAAAACTTCCATTCACAATTTATATTCTGCTTAATGTGGATTATTTCAATCCACAAATGGAAATGTAGTGCAAACCCCAAAGCTTATACCTGCTCAAGAAAGTAATAAATCATGGTTTGCTGATAAGTCTGAATTTGGTCTGAGGCTTGCTCAACTTGTTGAGACTTCCTAACTTTTAACAATGCAATCAAACCATACCCTTTTATAGTAGTTTCTGGTTTAATTAGTTCTTTCTCTTTTGCACATGTTATACAACATTTATTTTATTAGAGGTCTGACACAGGCTTAAACAAAGCTCTTTCTATAATAATCAAAATAAATAGTTTTGTAAGAGAACAAAATGGATCAATTTCAGCCATAGTAGCGACCTTAAACAAGAACCCATCAGAGTGGCTCTTAGATTTAAGATATTAAGACAAGGCATTGTCTGAGCTAATAGAGTCAGATTCATGTAGTGAGCACACCTTGATGAAAGAACAGGACATAAATTTAACAAAGAAACACTCATAGCACCGGGACTGTGGCACAGCTGGCTGGGAGTCAGCTGCATTAAGATCACTACTGACCAAAAGATCATGAGTTCTAAGCCAGTCCAGGTCAGAGGGAGCTTCCGACCAATTTTGTGTAGTTTGCTGTCGACCTTTGCAGTCCGAAAGACAGTTGCACCTGTCAAGTAGGAAATTTAGGTACCGCTTATGCAGGGAGGCAAATTTAACGAGGCCATAAAAATCTCCAGCAAGCATGCAAAGAATGAGGAAGTACTTCATCAGTGTCACAAATGGTCGATGAAGGGACAGCTCTCCTGGTGGCCAGAATACCCTCAAGAAAAGCTGGAATGTTAAATTGCCTTTGTGTCTGTCTATATATGTTGTGTGTCTATGGCATTAAATGTTTGCCATGTATATGTACATTGTAATCTGCCCTGCGTTCCCTGTGGGGTGAGAAGGGCGGAAAATAAATAAATAAATAAATAGCAAACAGGCTGCTTAGATGGATGGCCAACCCCTAATACAAGGGCTCTGTAGGCCACAGTGAACCAGTCTGCGGAAGTCAGGTGACACTGGATGCAGCCTAGCTGACTCCAGACCATTTAGCCAAGTTTGTGGGACCTATTTTCCACCTCTAGTTCAGCATCAAGCCAGTTTAGATTTTTGGAACATTGGCGCCATCTTCAAAAGATTCTGATCATGACCATGACATGACTAATCTTTTAGTCTCTTTTGTTTTCAGATGTTCCAGCACCTCATGCAGAAACGAAGGCAGAGGCTGTGGTCCTTTGGGCCTATTACCACTGTATTCTATGACCTCACAGAAATTGATTCCTGGGGTGAAGAGCAACCTTTTCTCGAACTTGTTGTCTCAACCAAGAAAAGAGAGGTACTATATGCTTGCTTAGTTTACTTTGATGTGGTTTTTAAAAACAGTTCCAACAAAATTAATATTTTCTTTAGGCAAAAAAAAAAACCTTCCTTCATCTGCAAATAACTTCTACATAACTTAAAGATGATGGTATTCTAGACAGTTGAACAGATATTTGTGTAACCAGTTTCTGTGAAAAGAGGTTTTTGCTTTTCCACCTGTAGTACTTTGTACCCCATGGCTTTCAGCATTCAGTCAAACAGGAAGGGAGCAGTATTCTGGGGCTTCACAAATCTTCTGAAAGCATAACTTAGTGGGTTGAATGGATGAGAGGGAAGGCAGTGTATTACTCTTGTAAACATTAAAATTATATTTGACTGTTACAGGTATAATCCACTTCAGTTGGTATAATTGAAGTGGATCTATACAGTGGAATCTTTGTTTCTTCAAATCCCAGTGAAAGCATTAATATTTTCCTGCTCTCAACCTCTTATCATCAGTTGATACAGTGTTTTGCTTCAGTGCTTTTCATTCACATTATGGTGTTAGGAAGGGACACTAAAAGCAGGAATAGTATGCAGTGCTTACTAGACTGTGATCCAAAAGTCAAGCTGCAGTAAAAGTTTTCAGGAGCAACATGTTAGATTTGGCCTCTACACCTGAAAACAGAATGACATTGTCTTTTAGAATGCATGTCCTTAAAACAACTATTTGAAAAATAAATACAGTATATTCTGGCGTATAAGACTACTTTTTAACCCAAGAAAATCTTCTCAAAAGTCAGGGGTCGTCTTATACGCGGCTGTAGTCTTATGCATGGGAGTCGTCTTAACTCTATATTTTAACTGGAAAAGTTGGGGGTCGTCTTATACACCCAGTCGTCTTATATGCCGGAATATACGGTAGATATTGGGAAGAGTTTTTAAAATCAGTTGCTCTCCATTCTGACAAATGACAAACTATTCACCAATAGTTGCCTTCACCAAACTATCACCTTTACAGGCTACAGACATTTTGGGAAGATATATAACTTAATACAAAGAACCCTAAATTTAATCCCTGATCCTGATATATTCGCAGTGGGTTAAGTAAGACTTCCTGTCAATCAATCTGAGAAAGCTTTCCCAGTTACTGTATGTATGACTGTCATTATCATTTCTGTCTTCCTGGGAAAATGAGTTAAAACACTTTCAACATTCAGGTCATAACTAGACAAACAAATCAATTCTTCTGGAAAAACAAATTCTTTTTACAGTTAAAACCATGTTAAAACTGTTGAATTTGACATCTGCTCTTCAGCAGTCGTTATATTTGATTCTATAGCTCATCTATTATATAGGAAATTCTTCCCACCGGATAGGCCCATCCAATGGCTCTGTGAAACAGCTGCCTTCAACCAATTTATCTTTATGATTTTTACATATGTCATCTAAGGTTATTATAGCCTCTTTTTTGAACTCTTTGAACCATCATAAACATCTCAGAAATGGGTCTGCTGAACTTGATGAGAAATAAATTCAATATAGTCTTAATTCCTAGCTATAGAAGCACACCCCAAACTAAGTGTGTCACCCTTGTTTCTATGACAACTCTCTCTCCCTTTTTGTTTTACTCTTTTGTTGTATGTTAATTTATCCTATGCATTTGGATTATAATCTAACTTTAAATGGGAATTAAATTTTTCATGACTCTATTTTTTATTCTCTCTTTACTATCTTTGTGTGACACAACTTAGTGTCCATGCTGGCACTTTCTCCACACAGCAATATGTACTAAATTGAAGAGTGTTTTTCTCCAAATCTCCTCTTGTTTATTGCAAGAAGTTATATGAGTTTTAAGAGGGGGAAAATCATTGTAGAGATACCTTTTTAAAGAAATATGTGCTCTTATGTTGTTTCTCTTCAAAATAAAACTATGCCAGCTCAAAATGTTGCTTGAGCTAATCCACAGTTAATCTCTTTGCCTCTTAGGCTCGTCATATTCTAGACATAACCCCAGTGAAAGAGCTTGTGAGCCTGAAGTGGAACACATATGGACGCCCTTATTTCTGTTTCCTGGCATTGTTCTATGTCCTCTACATGATTTGCTTCACCATGTGCTGTGTTTATAGACCTCTGAAGTATCGACTGGACAATCGAACAGATGATCGGGACACCAGGGTTTTACTCCAGAAAACACTACAGGTGCACTGACTAATATATCTGTTTATATTGGCTCTGGATTTTCTTGATCTATGCACAGGAACAGACTAATGGAATCTTAGATTAGAGGAAGGGCTGTGTCACGGTAGTCTGCAAGCCAAAGGAATGCCATTAAAAATCATTTCCATTTTTGGCTAAAACATTTCTCCCTAGAGGTCCAGCCTTTTTTGTATGTACTTCGTTTTGTATTTTTTAGAAATGAAAATATTCAGAAATGGCATCTCTCTCACCTGTAGTCTGAAATTGAACTGTCCACACTCATTTGCTTCAAAAGACTCATAGTTTCTTTCTTCTGTGTATGCAAATAATCCCACAGGATGTGATTGTGATATCAATATAATCTAGCTTTCTCCACTGACTCTAGCAATATGTTTTACCCACTCTGCATTTTTGGATATCTTATCAAGCTATTAATCTTTAAGGCAGGCCGCCCTACTTCTGTATGAATGTATAGCAGTGCCATGGCAAGAAAAATAAATTCTTCTTTTCTTAACGTTGCATAAGGAAAAATGAAAGCTTTTCCTGAACTCATCATTGAGTTCCCTAGCAACTCTCCCTAGAAACAGATTTCCAAAATAACAGTGCTGTTCATAAGACCTTGCTCCAAAAACTGTATATCCAATTCCTGAAAGGAAAGAAGCTGAGGTCCTAAAGGCCTCAGGGTCCAGGAAAGTTTAGGCTTTGATGTATCAGGGATGTATCAGGGATGTCTTTTTTGGTGACATATTAATTTTTTGTGTGCAGGATTTTGATGTTTTAAGGATATTCATTCCATGATTCCATCTCACTAAAGATATGTGTCTTTCTTTTAGGAATCCTATGTGATGTATGAGGATCAGCTTAGACTTGTGGGAGAGCTGATCACAGTGATAGGAGCCTTGGCAATGTTGCTTCTAGAGGTAAGGGGAAACCTTACAGCTGTACATGACAATTTTTCTTTAGGTTGTACCAATACCAGTCTAGATGCCTCATCTTCCATTTGAAGTAACATTGAACTAGTGTTCCTTAAAAGGGCATATCTAGACCACAAAATTATGAAGTGGACTAAATCTCATTTGAGTATTAATACTTTTTCAATAAATATTTAGAATAGTTCCTGGTAGTTCTGTTTTCATATTCACCATGTACCTAACCGTCCAGTCCCAATGTTCCCAATGTTATTTGAGCAGAGAGCGCTCCAAACTCCTTCCAACCTCCCATATAGTAATAGTTTGTCCAAAACAGATAACCACTTCACTGTGAGCTCATTTGTGCATGGTAAGATTCACCCTCTCCCTTTTCATAAATTAAATTGTAATGTGTTCTAGAGGCTGAGGGCTTAATAAAGAGAAAGGGCCGCTTGAACAATTGATCTACATGTATTGCTTCCACCGCCCCACTTGACAGACCCAAAATACTTTATGACCTCCCAGTTGCGACAAAAGAGCATAACAAAATCCCAACATAGAAATTGAAGTTTTGGGGGTCGCAAATTCATAACCTAAACTCTGTTCTAACTCATAATCATCTTTTCAGATTCCAGATATTCTTAGAATTGGAGCTGCTAAATTCTTTGGCCAAACCATCCTGGGAGGACCTTTCCACATTATCATGTGAGGTTCTACATCTCCACAGTTTATAGATAAACACTTTCATTTTAATTGATTCCTTGTCTCTTTTTTATTTTTCTCTCTATCTAGTGACTGCTCCTTCTTTGTATTTATTTCACTGCAAACTTGTTAGATTTACAGCTGATTTTTATCTCAGAAGTTACATTTATAATGCAATGTTTATTCCTTAAAGTATTTCTAGAAGAGCTAGACAAATCTGTGAAAGGGTTAGAACATGTCCTAGATTTCCTGCAGTCCTAATGGGTTAATGTTGCCAGACCAGCAGACAAATGAAGAAACTAGAGCAGACGGGACACTAAATAGGTATTAGGAAATGTTTTTTTTTAAGGAAAAGCTTTTTGAGAAAAAAGGATGGGTGGAATTCATTGTACTACCCATCCTTTTTGAAGTGCAGTACTTATTTTTCTGAGTCTTTGAGACCAAAACATTTCTTCTCACTTCAGAATCATAGAAATATCTCTATGTTTTCAGACATTCCTATGATTTTTGATTTGGAATTTTGCAACCAGACAAAAGATGCAAACACACACATTGACATATCTTCAATAGCTAATAGCAAATTATTATGTGTATAGAGGACAGTCAACTGTAATATCACTCATCTGATAATCCTTTTTGCTTTGCAGCATTGCATATTCATGTATGATTCTGGTAACCATGGTAATGCGTCTCACAAGCACTGATGGAGAAATGGCACCAATGTCCTGCGCCCTGGTACTAGGGTGGTGTAATGTTATGTATTTTGCACGAGGATTTCAGATGCTCGGGCCATTCACCATCATGATACAGAAAGTAAGGAATACTGTTTGACCTGGTTGCAAATGTATACATATGTGCCTTCTAGTCACCTGTCAAATTCTTGCAAATTCCATGCGTTACATAGGGTTTTCTTAGGCAATGGAAAGTTACAGGAATAGTAAATACCTTTCCTTCCAAATAGTGTGTGCAGTGACTCTTTTTTTGTAAAAAAAAGTTAAACACTAAATTATGGCAGTGCTCTCTGAGAAAAGGTTCAATTATAGTAAATGTCTTAAATGCCAGCTGTTGTATAAGTCTTGACAGAACTTCCTTGTTAAAGCACTGCAATATTCATGTGGTCCAGCAATCTGGAACTAACAGTGATAGGGTAGTCTTCACTTAAATTAAATGTCCAAAAAATGTGGGATGTTTGAATAAGCCAGCAGTATAAAAAGCTAATGTCGTGGCATCACTTTTTGTATCTTTTTGACAGATGATATTTGGAGATCTTATGCGATTCTGTGGATTAATGGCAGTTGTGATACTTGGCTTTGCATCAGGTGAGAGAAATTTAACAAATCTATTTTAGGGTTATTTAGTTTACCCACTTCGCTTTGAACTTTGGGGCTTTAGAGGGAATAACTCTTTGTGCCAGAGATTAAGAACATGTTATCTGGTACTGATGAAAGTTAAAGTCTACCAACATCTGCAGGACCACAGGCTGTCATTCCTTGACCTAGTCCAGATGTTTTTCCATTGGAAAATCAGACATTCCTTGACCTAGTCCAGATGTTTTTCCATTGGAAAATCAGACATCTCAGTGTCTTTATAGTAGTGTCTTTCAAATAATGGTTCTTTGGAACCCTGGGATTCTTTGGAAATGATCACATTTCCAAACTTAGAAAATCAATATTAACTGCCAGTGTTAACTGAAAAAAATAGGTTATTAATCATTTGACTTTTCCCTGGAATGCACAGCCACACGTAGAAGCTGGACATATTTTTGGGTCACATAGGATAGTAGCTAGCTCAGGCATGGGCAAAGGTTTTTGCCTAGTGGCTGCCTTGTGGGCCTGGCTGGGAGGGGGGTGGGCATGTGCTGGGTGGGACAGGTCTATGAGGGGACGGGGTGGAGGTGGGTCATCCTCATGCCATCCTTCCTTATCCCAGGAGGAGAGCAAGGCATACAGCGACTGCCCCGATCCTCCCCGGCCGCCTCCCAATCCCTCCCAATCCCTCGGCATAAGGACAGGGTGACTCACGCCATCCTTGTGCCAGGAGGAGGCCAAGACAAGCGGCAGCAGAGAGCTCTCTGGTGAGGTCACCACCACCACCTACCTTCCTAGGGCTGTACTCCTGGCACAAGAACACAGCAGCCCATCCCATCCTTGTGGTAGGAGGAGGGCTCAAGGAAGAAACCATTACCAATAATGGTAATGGTTTCTTACCATTATTGATGGACACGGTGGTTGGGAGCCCTCCAGAGCCCTCCAACGCATGCCTTCCTCCCCTTTCCTGTTGAACTGTTGTGTCATTATGCCAAGAGGACAGGAAAAATTAGGAGGGCTGGAGATAAGCAACCAGTGGGGCACGTTTGGCCTATTGGCCTTAGTTTGCCCATGCCTGGACTAGCTGAATGGATCTGGCTGGTGTCCTAGAAGGGATTCATGGGCTCTCTAAACCAAAGCAGACTGAGCTCTCACTCTCTCCACGTTTAAGTTTCTTCTCTCTTTTCACTTTGCACTTGGGTTTTTTATGGTCATCCCTGCTCACTTTCTATGAACCTCACAGCTGTTTCTCAGTGTTTGGCTTCCTACCACTAGCTCTTGTCTTTCTCTGCTCTTCCCACATTTTAGTAAGTTTCTTCTCTCTTTATTTTTCCTCCCCCCCACATCCTCAGTACTCTTCTCCCTCTTTTCTCTCCTGCATGTTCTCTTATATCATTCCAGACACTTCACTGAATAGCCTGATTGGTGTTTCCCAGCAGGTCTAGGGCAGTGTTTCACTAGGATCTCAGGAAGGATGCTAGGAGCCATCTCCAATCTGTGGTCATTCTAACACAGTTATCAAAAAGCAACAAATGTCATTCACCTTTTGGTCTTTCAGCACCCATCTCCTAAATAGTCTTCTTTGTTTCACCACCAGCCTTTTACATCATCTTCCAGACAGAAGACCCCAGCAAATTGGGACAGTTCTATGACTACCCCATGTCTCTCTTCACCACCTTTGAGCTGTTTCTTACCATTATTGATGGACCTGCCAACTATGATGTGGACCTGCCATTCATGTACAGTGTGGTGTACTTTGCATTTGCCATTATTGCAGCTTTGCTCATGCTCAACTTGCTTATTGCCATGATGGGTGACACTCACTGGCGTGTGGCCAGTGAACGGGATGAGCTTTGGAGAGCTCAGGTGAGAATAAAGCTGTGCAGTGCAGACATTCCCGTGGTTCCTTTATGCTGTCTGACCCATCATCATCATCATCATCATCATCATCAGTAGTATCCCCGTTTTTTTCTAAAATCAGACTCGAAAGTGGCTCACAATAAAACCAATACAATTAAAACCTAAAAATATAAACCTTAAAATGGAATTACCAGTAAACATGAATGATATTAAAAATAAACAGGTAAAGTCCTTAATACCAATTAAAATTTTATCCATAGCTAAAACACGGCACTCGCTTAATTCATCTTCAAAACTTTCTTTTTTTAAAAGCCTGCCTTAATAAAAAGGTTTCAGCCTGCTATCAGCACTTCTTAATCACCACAATTATTTATTTATAGCAGAAGCCCCCGGTGGCTGTCGGTCAGCAGTTTTGTGCTGGCAAAGCTGCTGACCGACAGGTCAGCGGTTCAAATCCAGGGAGAGCTGGAGCTGACAGAGCTCCCTCTTTCATCTCCAGCTCCCCATGCAGGGACATGAGAGAAGCCTCCCACAAGGAGGCTCCCTCATCAAACATCCGGGCATCCCCTGAGCAACATCCTTGCAGACGACCAATTCTCTCACACTAGAAGCGACTTGCAGTTTCTCAAGTCGCTCCTGACATGGAAAAAAATTATCTGTAGTCATTAATCTGTCTTCAAATAACTTTGTAATATTGATATTATATAACTGTGTAAAGATTATGTGTGCCAAAGCTATACTAACTAGCTTTTTGAGATCTAGCCCTTTACCAGTCATGTTCTGCCTATTAACTACAGACTATCCTATATTACCATCCATGAGTGGGGCAAAAACAGATACAGACTTCTATTCTGATTCATTCCATTCCATAAAGACATACCTTTGAACACACAGCCTTGAAAAACAGAACTTTTACTAGCCTGTAAAACACTTGAGTTGCATTTCCATTTTGTTTATATGGTAAGATATCATTTTAATAATCAAAAAGGCCTTCAAAGGTGGCTAGAGCAATACAAAGCAACATTAATACAATCCACTGAATCATTCCATTAAAACCAGAAGAGAAGAAATGGAAACATTCTGCAGTTTTTCTTCTCTTAAATTTTCTTTCATTTATCTTCCAAATTTGGAATTTTAAAAGAATATGATGTTTATTCAGTGCACTGATCAATCAGAAAATTCAGAAGATGTGGATGAAATATAGGCTTAGCTGTCTCATTGAATCCAGTGGCCTGGGAAAATGCATAACTTTGGTTAGATCATGACCAATGGTTTTCTCAAGATGCATAACACATTTTTTCCTTCAAGGATCTGTGTGATTTCTGTAGCCTTTATAGTTCTGATAAGGCAGGCAAAACAATAAGGCGGTCATACATACACTGCTGGACAAGACAGCATCATCATGACTGAGCTGAGAACTGAATCTAAAGTTCCTGGTACATTTCCAACACAATGGAGAAGCTTCTTCCTTATGTTTTGTTTCTCCGGATAACACTTGTTAATTCAAGCTAAGAAAGACTCATTATGGCAAAGGCCCCTTCTACACCACTCTATATCCCAGGATCTGATCCCAGATTATCTGCTTATCCCAGGTTATATGACAGTGGAGATTTATATAATTCAGTTCAAACAGATAATTTGGGATTGGATCCTGGGATATAGGGCAGTGTAGATCCAGCATAACACCATCAAATTCAATCTCATTCAGCTTTTTAAAAATACATCAATTCACCTGTCAAACAGTTTCAAAAATCAGATAAATCATTATGATGTATATAAGGTTCATGTAGTTACTATATGTAGTAGGCAGAATGTTGAACATTACTTTCCTGTTCAGCAGCTGTGAAAAGGTACTTTCACAATGACCCAGGGCACATCTTTTTTTTACAGTTTTCACTTATTTTTGTTGTTGTTGTTGTTGTTGTTATATTTATTTATACCCTGCTTTATCCCTCTTGAAGGGGACTCAAAGCATCTTAACATAAAAGCATAAGTACACAATTTAAAATATATAAGCAAACAAACATTTAAACAGAATTAAATATAAACAGTATTAAAATTCACAGTTTAAAACCATTCTACACATTTCTATGAAAGGAAACATGGATAACCTTTATTAGATACATTGAAGATCTTAAAGAAAGATTCACCTCCTAAACTACATGTGTAACTAACACAAACCCTGTTCTGATTACTGCTCTTTGGATAACTAGAAGGGCACCATCTAATACATGAATCTGGTATTAGTGGGACTGGAGAAACCCTAAAGTTTGCAGGAGTGCCTTCTTCCTCCTACAATCCAGCATAGAAAAAACCCCTAAGCAATTATGAGAGGGAGGATCCTGAACACAATGCAATTACTACTGTTACACTCAGTAGTAACAGAATGCTGCTGTTCTGATTGAATTGGGGAGCAGGGATGAATGTCAAGACATGACATAGCTTGGAAAATAATATAATCCTAAACACAATTATTTAATTTTAATTCAAAGATTATTAAAACTAGTAAATTCAGATCTATCAGTGACAACAGTGAATAAAAGAGAAACAGACTGTTCAGCATAGTTTATGAATCTAAATCTGTCTGCAGCTTTTTGTAAAGATGGATCTGACCCTCTTTGTTTTCGTGTAGGTTGTTGCCACTACGATCATGCTTGAGCGAAAGCTCCCACGGTGCCTCTGGCCTCGCTCTGGCATCTGTGGGCGAGAATATGGCCTGGGAGATAAGTGGTTTCTCAGGTGAGTTCCATTACATATATATTTGCATGTTCCATCAATTATGGGTGGTTAAGACATTTCCAGTCTATGTGGATTCTGGGAAATTGTGAAGATCACATTGTTTAGTCCATCTAGTCTAGCATAGTTTCAGAAAAGGATTTTCCCTATTCCATCTTGAAAATCTGTATTCTGACACTGAGCAGCAGCTCTTCTCAGACCTTCTTTTGATGAAGTCATACTTAGCTATAGACAGCTGTAGACCTAGAAGATGTTTTCTCTAACTATGACCAGAAGCTGAGGTTGGAACAAGAGGATAATATACAGAAGTTACAGTTATGTTGATCAGCAAGAGCTGAAGTTTAGGTTTTTATTTAGGCTGTCGGACCCTGAAGTTTCAAACTGTTTGTCAATCACAGACCAAGTGTGCACATCTCATTTCCATGAGGTTGAAGCACACCAAATCCTGAGAAGCTCAGATCACAAAGTTCCTGGTTCAGACCTTGGTGTTCCTGGCAGCAGAGCCACTGAGAGTCCCAACATTAACCCTCCTCCTTTCATTCCACACAGGGTAGAAGAACGCCTTGACTCCAGCAAGCACAAGGTGCTTCGCTATGCAGAGGTATTTAGAAACCAAGACAAGGAAGAGCTTGATAGGTTTTCTGGGAAACTACATCTGGGTGAACATTCCCAATTCAAGAAGGAATCATCTCCATCTGTCTCACGGAGCACATCCCGGAGTAGTTCCCATCGGGGCTGGCAAATCCTGCGGGAGAACACCTTCAACCGCTTCTGTGGGGAAGTGAATCATGCCTTAGAAGAAGAGGTCTACCATGTCTGAGGTTCCTCTTGACTGACTTTACTTGCACACCCAATTGGTACCTTGTGGTGCATCATGGATTCCTCCAGAAGTTAATGGGATTTCTTGACAGAATTACCCAGTTCCAGGATAGGCGCTCTAATCTCATCCATGTCTGGAAGCTCCTCTCAGATACAATGCCCTTGCACTTCTGGACAATCGAGATGAAATGTGCAGGGTCATTTTTGTTGTTTGGATGTGCATCTTTCTGGAGTAATTATTCTAAGGAGAGCACCGGTATTTAACAACATCAAAGAGATTTGGGGGGAATTAAGTTACAACCTGTCCACCAGTAATTCTCTTATCTCTCAACATGTTCTCAGGCAACATTTCACTAAATCACTAAAGAGACGACTCTATGGGAAAATTAGTTCTAATACAAATAATGAATGTATTTTTATATTTAAAAAACCTCAGGGAATTCACCTCAACTAAAGAGCCTATAAACAGACAGCTAGCATTCTAAGAGGCTGTTTGGCTCTACAGACTTGAATCCTGTCTGCCACACTGTGGTCCAGAGATGGCCAGAATGGATTATGCCTTTTTGGCTATGATATACCAATGCACTTTAAGACAAATATATAACTGGGTGTTTGATCCAAGACATTTTGCATTATATCATAGGAATTTTGATTTGAAAGGGAAGGATCAGAATTGTTTTTGCTTGTCTCAACTAAATTGTGCTAATATTTCCTGATGGGGCGAGTGCAGAAGACATTTGTGAACTCATTTTTGGTGAGTTACCATTGCCCCTGTTTTTCCTTTATAGATGAGACTGAAGCAGTTGCTAGTTCCTGTGTGCACTGCTTGTGAGGAGCCATCTTCAACTGTTCTGTTCTGTTCTGTTCTTGGCTACATTTTTAAATGTCCCTTTTGAGGCAAAAGAAAATATAGAATGCAATGCAGACATTTGAATTAGCCGGGCCTAAGTATTCCTACTTCCAGGGTGCTGCATCTTGGTGCCTTCTGAATATTATTGTCACAGCATTATGCTTAGAGCAAGTCTGAAATTCCTTTTTAAGTAAACTATACCAAAGGTATTTTGGGAGGAAGTTTCAAAAGTTCAATTAAGAGTAGCAAAACTCTCCCAAAGTTTTTGTATAGAAAGAAACATAAAAGCTGCTTGATACTTTGGTTCATCTGATTGACAGCAGAGGACATTTTCCACCCTCATCTAGTGGTGCCAAGGACTGAGTCTGCTTCTGAGCTACAGTCACTGCCAAGCACATCATGTGTCCTTACAAGACCACTAAGTTTTGCAGAAGCAAAATCCAAGATGGTCAAACCTAGTGAAATTTTCCAGGTGCCTGTCACACCTGGAGTCCTCTTAGAATAGTCTTTCCTGCAGATCCATTCTTGTAAGGAGGACTTGTTTTTCTTTTCTTTTAAAAGGAGGACTTGTTTTTCAACAATAAGAAGCAGGATGAAGCTTATACTTAATCTACAGTCTTTCTTTGGCTTTATTAGACTCTTAGTTTTCATTTCATAAGGAAAAAATAACAATACGTAATTTCTTAAAGAAAAGCTGTGAGATTGTACCTTCACAAGAACTCAATAGAAAGTTACTCCTATACATTACTACTGTCAGTGAGAGCAGTCAAGAGTTCTCAGGTGGCCAAATGAAAATGTACCTATATTTACGTTGCCAAGATACCTTTCTGCCATGTGCACAACATCATATAGTGATGAATGATAATGTTGAAAGTTTAAAAAAGTACACGGTTTAGAAAAATCCCTGTTTAAGGTTGGGCAGAGACTGGAAACAAGATTTTGAAGATGTCTTTGTTTCATGCTCATTTCCTAGTACAAATGCAATTTTCTATGCACATTTGCCTTCTAGCTTTCATGCAGCATCCTAGGGTACCTCGGAGTTCTTTGGAAACTTGTTGAGGGTTCTTCAGTGGGAAGATCGACATGATCTTCCCATGATTTCTTGAAAAACACCTTCCCAGGCACTGACCTTTCCTCATAGGGACTACTAGATGTCTCCTGTAGCATACCCTTCATCCAAAAGGCAATAGGAAGATTCTGGAGTTTGACAAGTGCTTTATTTCAATTGTGCACAAATGCTGAAGTTGCACTGCAGTCCTTGTCAAAGTATTATGGGCGACATAAGCCACAATGTTTCTTGGCAGAAATATAACATGGAAGGACTTTTTCACCTGAAAGTTAAAAAGTATAGAAACCACTTCAGGTTTCAATGAACAACTTTTCATTAATTCAACTTGATGAACTGTGTTTAACTTGGCTAGTCTTTGCTACATTTCAGTTTCCAGGTGTTGTGTCTTACTCTTGGGAAATTTGCACTATTGGATTGTGGAAATGGAAACTATGATTTGCACATATGTAAAAATTGTGATCTGTGGTGATATGGTTTGTGATTAGTTCACCACTATTTCATTCTATGGCTTGATATTTTGTGAGAAGAGTCTGTTTATATTATGTCCAAATGAATATTTTCATTTTACTAGTAAGACGAAAAATATCATTGGGGCTTAATGAATATGTGATTTCTTCAGTGGGTTCAACTCTATTTGATAGCTGCTAAGTTTTTGCAATGGGCTTCATGGTCCATTCCGCCAGTGATGTAATTAGCAACCAAATCCAAGGCCTTCTTCATATTTAGCTTCTTAGCCTATGAAACCACCCACATGCTCAGGAAAATCCATCCACACTACTAGAATGATGGCTCTTCTCAGTCTTCATTTTAGTGGCTTTCATATAAGGTGCAGCTTTAGGGAAGGACCGACATGATAGAACAGGGTTTTCACCACTCATGTAGTTTTCCATATTTCAACTTTATGATGTAGCAATCAGGCAAATATCTACATTATCAAAGTAATGAAAGAACTGGACCTGAGGAGAAATTCCCGACAACCTGATAATAGAAAAGCACTACAAGGACATTGATCTCCGGCATATCCACTAAACCACCAGTCATTTGTACTGAAAAAGCACTTCCTTTTAATGAATTCCAAAACAATTCACATAAAACTGCAGTTACAAGAGTGAGGTCTTTAGAAAAGAAACTAAGTGGGGATTGTTTTGTTTTTTTATACTGCTACCAAAGAAGCCCCTGAGTCCTATTACTAAGAATATGAGCTAGTACATTAGGTGCCATCTACACTGCCATATAATTCATCCTCTGAATCCAGATTATCTGCTTTGAACTGGATTATATGGCAGTGAAAACTCATATAATTCAATTCAAAACAAATAATCTGGTTTCAGAAACTGGGTTGTATGGCAGGGTAAATCCAGTTTTAGGTAGAAAAGCAACATATCAGAAGAAGGGAAAAGTTTAGCCTCATCCCTAGAATATATACATTCTGTGTGGAAAAGGCTTGGCTTAGATATATGATCCTCTGGTTGCAGCTGAAAATGGCACCATCCAGGAAAAGCCCTGTATGATAGGGATTTGCTCGTTGTATGAAACTGGCCTTGGAGCAAGGAAGAATTCTACTCATGTGAATCTCAAATGTTTTGGGAGTTTTAATAAAATATCTCTGTTGCAGATAACTTCAATGGGGAAAGAATGATGATCTGTTATTGAAGAGTGCAGAACTATAATGATCAATGCAATGCATTGCTATTTATCATGATCTTTCATGTTAGGAATATAGTTTGATAAGATTATGTACATTCTTTTAGCCATTCCCTTATCTCTCAAGGGAATATTTACCTTTTATCATCTGCAATGCAGATAACTTTACTTGAACTACTTTGCTTCAAATTTCTCAACCACACAACTAAAGCTAAAATGACTCCAGATTCCACATGCTAATTTTCAGGTTTGTTTGATAATTTGTGTAACCTATATCGAATGTAAATCATGTTTTATTTTGTTACCACATGCAAGAACAAAGAATTTGAAATGTTTTTCTGTGTGCTCGGGATTAAAAGTTTCTGACTTTTAAAATGATTTTTCATACTCATGCATCTTTTCTAAGAATATAATTTGTAGAAGAAATATTATACACATGCCCATTTTTCACCCAAAGTCCCAAATGCAAAAAAAAGGGAAACTCTGGAGAATTGGCCATTTCTTAAAAAGGAAGTCTCATGCTGAAATCCACAAAAGACAATAAAAGTATTTGTGTGCTCTTTATATCCCTTATAATGTCGCACTTTCTGGTTGTCTTGTATGATAGTAGTGTGTTTTATTGTATTGTTTACCTTTTTGATGTGAGATAAAGAGCAGCCATTACTTTTTGGTAATGGTAAAATAGCATTAAAGATCAAATGAAAAACAATTCCAGTTCCTACTCGTAATCATTTTCTGAACTTAGGAGTTCAAACAATCTTGTTGAGAAAGCTAAGAAAATTTCCGATCCCAATCAAGATACATTTAGAATATGACTTGGAATGTATTTGCGGATTTTGAAAGCCTTTGTTCTGTTTCCAGAAATGCTGAACAATATCATAACTTTCAGTTAATTGTGCCCTACAACTAATTCAGGACATAGTCTGAATGCTGCTAATAAGTAGAAAATCCCTAGTAGCTTTTTTGGCTTTCAGAAATCCATTCTGTGGTTATTTATCTATTTGGAGTTTTTTATCATAGTATGAAAACAATGCGGATAAACCAGCATCAGTTTTGAATTAATTTAATAACCACAGTTGCTCTTCATAGATTGCTTTATTTATGGTTCAATCGTTTTTATGGGGACTGTACAACCTTGCAGAACAGGTTTGCTCACACCTTATGTCAGATCTGAAAGACCAATTTCGTTCCATTTTAAAATGATGATTGAACCAACAGAACCATCATGTCTTTTTTAAATGATAGCTGAAACAATCTGTCTCTCATACAGAACAGCTGCAAGATCTTGACTTTTCTATCTTACACCAAAAAGAGATAGGAACATATTTTGTTTAAGTAAACCCCATATGACAACTTTCAAGGGTAATCTATAGTGAGTGAAAATGTATCTCTGCTGATCAAACCCTTCTTGTACCATATTTGTGCTTCACTACTCATTAATGTTGAGAAATCATTCCGATAATATTATTTCATATATATGCCAAAGTCTGGTGACTGCTAGCAAAGACTGGATCAATAGGCAATAGTCTTATGCACTCTTTTAAAATGTTATATTGATAATAGTTTTTTTTTGTCAACTTGAGACCTCAAAATGAGTTTAGAAAAAAATGTCATTTGTTCAGTTTTCAAAAGAATGTAGATGTATTTTATTCTTGCACAAAATGAAAGCACAACTATTTTATTTAAAATAAATCCTTCACTTCCTTCTACACTTCATCAGAATCTGTACATTATTATTGCAGAGGTGGTTATTGTTATTAATTTTTTTTGTGTAAAGGTTTCCCCTTGGCATTAAGTCTAGTCATGTCTGACTCTAGAGGATGGTGCTCATCTCCATTTCTAAGCCAAAGAGCAGGCATTGTCCATAGATGTCTCCTAGTTCATGTGGCCATCATGACTGTATAGAGCGCCATTACCTTCCTGCTGAAGCAGTATCTATTGATCTCACATTTGCATGTTTTTGAACTGCTAGGTTGGCAGAAGCTGGGGCTAACAAGTGGGAGCTTGGCCCACTCCTTAGATTTGAACCACCGACCTTTTGGTCAGCAAGTTCAACAGCTCAGGGGTTTAACTCAGCACACTACCAGGGGTTCCCACTGTGCTTCAAATAGCTATAGCTCAGATGAGCAACATAAACAAAAGAAGGACATTTTTTTTTTACAGTTGGCATGTTTCTATCCTTAACAATTGAGAAGTGAAGAAATAATTTTTCAACTAGTTGAGCCACCAATTTAAGCAGATTTAGTCCTGTGTATTTCACTGGGGGCTCTGCAGCATCCTCTTCGCTTACACAAATGGAATGAGAGCCAGCAAAACAGTTCTGCAATCTCTTACTAATCCTAAATGCACCTTGGAATTGAAAGCTAAGCAGCAAAATTCGTCCCTGATGGTGCAATGGGTTAAACCCTTGTGCCAACAGGACTGAAGACCAATGGGTTGGAGGTTCAAATCCGGGGAGAGTGCAAATGAGTTCCCTCTGTCAGATCCAGCTCCCCATGTGAAGACATGAGAGAAGCGTCCCACAAGGATGGTAAAACATCAATACATTGGCCATCCCCTGGGCAACATCCTTGCAGATGGCCAA